TGTTCCAAATGGGGAAACTAAGGCACAGCTAGGTCAATTCCTTTGAGCCCAAGCCATCTGCTCCCAGAGCCCAAAGGCTCCTGGCAGATGGGTGTTCTTGTGCTCCCATGTTGGAGGTGAGGAAGCAGGCCCTGAGAGGGAACGTCGCTTGCCCAGGGTCACACAGCTGGAAGGCAGCATTGGCAGAACTGCAGCCCAGGCCTGACTGCCTGCAGAGCCTGTGCCATTGGCCTCCACTCTGACCAGGGGTGATGCTAGGGCCGTCCTGAGCAGGCAGAGTAGTTAGGTCAGCAGCCTGGCCTAGAAAGATCCCGGTGGTTTGGTGAGAGGTTGGGGCCAAGGACCAGAATTGGGCATTTCTAGAGGGGCTTCCTAGAAGGGAAGTAATAGAGGGACAGTGGCGGAGCTGGGACTGACTGACCCTGAAGCTAAACCCTTAGCCGCTGTGATGGGGCTGGGGACAGAAACTAGAGGAAACAGGCAGGACTGGCTGTCTGGCTCCTGGCCCGGGCTTGCATCTGCCATGCTACAGCCAATCCTCTCCGCTAAAGATGACTGCTCCTCCCTCTGTCACCTCGTGGTGGCTACCTCCTGGTCCCCAGGCTTCAGGCCTGGCCCTTCCACTACCTCCTCATGTGATTGTGGGAGGTTCTTCCCCTCCTGCCCTCAGTTTCCTGAAGGTGCTTGGCACGTGCTTCAGGACAAATCTGTTGAGTATCATCAGGACCCCTGATTGAGGTTCAGAGAGAGTAAATCAATTGCTCAAGCTCACACAGCTGAGAGGTGCCAAGAGCAGGTCAGGACCCCAAGGCTGCTTGGTCCCAAAACCCCTCAGAAGCACTGTGTCCTGCTGCCTCCCTGTGATCAGTCAGTGGAATCGGCCACAAGCACTGGCAGGGTGCTCTGCAGGCCACCCCCATCGCGGGAATGCTTCTTAACCCTGCCCTGTGGCACCCAGCTCCTGGCCTGTTGCCTGAACGCCGCCTGCATGGCATTGGTGGACGCGGGGGTGCCCATGCGGGCCCTCTTCTGTGGCGTCACCTGCGCTCTGAACGCGGATGGGACCCTTGTGCTGGATCCCACGGCCAAACAAGAGAAGGTAGGTCTGAAGGCCGGGGCGGTGAACGGCTGTGAGCAGACACTCCTCCTCTCGGCCTCGCTTCCCTGAAGCAGTTGGCTCTTATCACGTCGGTCCCGGTTGGCAAGCCCTGGTCTGTTCATCAGCACAGGTGCTAGAACCTCAGCTCAGACCCACTTAAGTGGAAAGAGAATATAACAGTGGTCCAGCTGGAGCCAGGGTCTCAAACACCGTAAGGATTTCCTCATCTGGCTTCTCATTCTCTGCAGTCTCATGCATTTTAGTTCTGTTCGGTTCCATTCGCTAGCCAGCATCTTGCCCAAGGCTGGGACCAGCCCCTAGAACTCCATGCTTTCCTCACCAGCTCAAGTTCACAGCACCCAGGGTTCTGGCTCTTCCCAGGTACTCACCCTGTACTGTGATGGATGCATCCCATCAGGAAAGCCGAACACGCCTGAAGTATTTCAGACAGAATTTCCTGCACGAAATGGGTCAGAATCTTGTTGGAAGAGCCAAAGGGGCAAACAGGAAAGAGGGCCATACCCAGAGGCTAGCGGCCTATAGGGTGCTCGCCCTCTGCACTGTTGGGAGAGGCTGTCAACAGTTGGGTCTGGGCACTCACAAGGCGTCCTGGCTTGGCCTTGGCAGCGGAAGTCTGGAGACAGCCTCCTCCCCTCCCCTCCAGCCACCTCCCCTCCACAGCTACTGCGGGAACTGCCACAGCCCCTGCTTCTGTCAAGAGTGAGGACAGGACACAGCCCTCCCTCCCTCAGCCTCTCCCCCAGATTATTGGGGGCACCTAACCAGGAGAGTCCAGGGAGTGTGGGAAACAGTCTGCCAGCTTCCAGCCCTGGTGGGACAGAGGTGGGAAGGGGAGCGGGAAGCCGAGAAGTACCCGCTGATGACTGGCTGTGCAGCTGTCCCCTGTTGGAAGCCCCTGTTGGAAACATGCAGGTGACATCCGGGGGTGGGAAGCAGTTCCACAGAAGGAAGGCCCAAGGGCACTGCCCCAGGAAGCAGGTGGTGCACAGACAAAACACCTCCACCTGATACCCTAGAGACTGCGGGCTGGGGGAGGGGCACGTTCCCTCCTTGGGGCCGGCTGAGACTGCCCGATGCAAGAGTCTAGGCATCCTACCCCTCATCCCTAGGAGGCCCGGGCTGTCCTGACCTTGGCGCTCGACAGCGTGGAACGGAAGCTGCTGATGTCCACCACCAAGGGACTCTACTCCGATGCTGAGGTACTGAGGGTGACCAGATCCCTCCCTCCTGGTGTGAGGTCTTGTCGGGACCCTGGGAGGTGGAAGGAGAGCCCCTTCCTTATATCCTTTCTGTGTGTAGAAGGCGTTTTCAAACATTGTAGGCACAGAAACCCTTGTGGGAATTTGAAAGGGAAGCCCCAGTCACGAGAGCAGAGAAGGAGAGCACCTCAGGTTGAGATCGGGAGGTGAGGCATCTCCTGCTCAGAGCCGCACACTCCCAGAATCCCGGTGCTCTGCTCTCCCAGACCACTTCGACCTGTTGCTCCTGTGAGCCTAGGAATGTGTGGTGCATCCCAGATTCCACAGCTTCCAAGATGATCTGGCATCATAGGGCTGGTAGCTCAAAAATTCTGTATCTCCAGCTGGAGTTGGGCCAGGCTGAGGCCTCTCGCAGGGGTCAAGATGCCTGATCCCACCTGTCCACACTCCCAGAGCTACCAGAATTCGATCCCTGAAGTCCTCCCCTTTTTCTCAGTTCCGCCTCTCAGAAAGAGCCCACCAAATGGGGAAGAAAGAAGGGCCTTGGAAACAATCCCCTGGCCACTTGCCTCACTGCAGGGGAAGCAGGAGGTCTGGGGGCTCCAGGAAACAGCCGGGGTCAGGGCAGGCTGTGGGGTCGGTGGGGGTGGGGGGGGTGCGGGAGCAGGGAGGTCCCAGTACCACCAGCTCTCTCCCCGCCTCCAGCTCCAGCAGTGCCTGGCTGCGGCCCAGGCTGCCTCACAACACGTCTTCCGCTTCTACCGGGAATCGCTGCAGAGGCGTTACTCCAAGAGCTGAGACAAGCTAGGGCAGGGCGTCCTTCCCGCCGCCACCGCCGCCACCCACTACCTCCATGGAAAATAAACCAGCAGCTGGCCTCGCCTCTCAGTCCCTGTGCACCTGGATGAGCTTGTGGACCTTGGGGCACGGACCCATCCTGGCCCCCCAGGAAAGCATTTCTGACCTGGGAACCCCTCCCATCCCCACCTGCCAGTCCAACAGATACCTGTGAGGCGCCCGCTGTGTGCAGTCCTGCTGGGTGCAAGACTCCAGGGTGAATGACGGCCCACCCCCCCTTGAACTCCCGGATTCAAGGAGCAGTAGGGTGAAGGGGAAAGAAAATCGGTGTTGGTCGGGTGGTGGTGAACGCTAAGAAGGAAGCAAAAAGCAGGGAGGAGGGGTTTGGGGAAGACGTCTGGGTGGGGTGGGGTGAGGTGGGGGTGCGTGTAAGGGAAGTCCTGGGAGGAGGCCTACAGGACATGCAGCACCAGCAAGGCTTCCCTGGGGCTCCTGTGATGGCGGCTGGAGCAGCAAGATGGGTCAGGGACAGAACAGGCACAGTGGTGAGGGTTTGTGGGTCTTGGCATCTCTGTCCTAACCTGAAGAAACGAATTCAGAAGCCAGTGAGCTGCCCCATGTCACCAGCTAGTCCGTAATGGGGCAGGGTGGCCTCAACCCTGGAGTCTGGGGAGACACCAGCACGGTCCTGACTGCAGTTCCCCACTTGTAACCAGAAGTGTCTGGGGCCCATTTCTTCTCAGTGGGTGGTAGCACCCTCCAGGGTGTATGGAAATATGGGGGGTTAGTTGCCCTTTGACCACTGGGTTCCCCCACCCCTGTATTTAGCGGGAAGGAGCCAAAAACACGAGCACATCGCCTGAGGAGTAAGTGTCCCACAGCTGGGCCACGTGGTCGCCAGATTCTGTGGGGCACTGACATTTGGGGGTTTACGGTGAAAATTCTATGTCTGGCAGGCCCTCTGCTGTGTGCTTCACATGCTTGAACTAGTTCACACAGTTCCCACAATTGCCCTTTGGAGCCTGTGTCATTTTCGTCCCCAGTAACCAAGAAGGAGAAGCATCAGAGTCTTTAGCTCAAAACTCTGCTCTGTGAGACTCAGGAGAACACCCAATGAGAAAGTGTTTTCTTCTAGTTAAGATCCATTGGAGTGGTATTAAACAGTAAGAGAGCTAAGCCGCCTGTCACGCCATTACTCGGTCATTTCTCAGGCCCACTCTGTGAGCACTCCTGTACCTCTGGGGAGCGCTCGGGGTCCGTCTGGGGGGTGGCTAGCACCCCAGTACCTTAAAGCTCCAGCCTTCCTGGTCTCCGGCCAGCCATATGATTCCCATGGAGTACCTCAGCTCCTGGGGCCATCTTTCTTCCCCAGAAGCCTGCACAGAATGAGGCCGACAGGAAAGGAGAGCCAAGAGATGGAGACCAGACTGCTTATTTCATATGAGCCTGAGTCCGGTTTCTGCCACCAGCCATGGGAAGAGCTCAGAGGGATACTGCCCTTCACAGGTGTCACCCATCTGGTCCTCCCCAGGGGTGGAGAAAGTCCCCTTTAGGAGAAAGGAAAATAGAAGGCTCAAAGAGAAGTCACTTGGGCCAAGGTTGCAGAGCTAAGGAGAAGTAAACCCTTGGAACCTGGGGTAATTCTCCACAGGCCACAGTGCAAGAACATTCTGCAATTTAGGAACCCTCTGCCCCACGGATTCACCCTTTTCCAGCTCCAAGGTCTCTGGGGATAGCCTGTCACTGGCCGCATGTCCCTTCCTGGTCTCCCCAAGCTCCCTCCTTCCCCCCCCGCCCCAATACACACACACACAGGTTTGGCTGAAGTTTAATCTCACACTGCGGTGGCCAGGAAGGAGGGTTTTGCCGCTGCAGCTGCCTCATCCACCCAGATTGTCCACGTTGCCAACGGCGCGCCTGGATCCCGGCCCCTGATTCACAGTGGGGGCGGCAGGGGCAACTAGGGCGGCTCTCGGGAGGCCAGGTAGGCGGCCAGGGTCACCAAGGCAGCTGCGTATGTGCACACACCCAGCCCGACGGCGAGGACCCCCAACAGGAAGGCTCGGCGGGAGGCAGCCCCTGCCCCCTGGACGTCCCCCTTGGCCCAAGCCTTGTTGGTCTGTGGAGGCGTTGGGCAGCGGTGACTCAGGCATCCCCGCTGCCCACAGCCCCAGACCCTTGCCCTGAACCTGCCCCCACTGGCACACCCACAGACTCATTCAGAGATTCCAAAAACAGGGAGCAGCCACTGTGGGCCACGCACAGGGGTGCCCGGGAGGCTAATAAAAATAGACCTCTCACTTGGTGCCACCGTTCGAACTCATCTGAACCTCACAATGACCCAGATAGGAATTATTCCCGTTTTACAGGTGAGGAAAATGAGACCCAGGGAGCTTAAGTGGCTTGCCCAAAAGTCTTAACGGAGTGCGTCAGGCCTAGGAATTTGAGCCCAGATTCCTAACCACCTCTCTGGGCTTCCACTCTGAAACACTCGTTTTACCTTTCCATGTTTCTATGCAGGTCCTTCTCTCCACTTTTGCCCCCCACCAACGCATAGCACTTCTGTTTTGTTCTGAATACACTTTCCCCTTAGATCCAGCCCTACCCACAGACTGACCTTCTGGGCCAGGCAGAAGGCTGCGATGCCCACAGGCCAGAAACAGCAGAGCATGGAGAAGACAGCCAGCCCGAGGTGGTCGTGGGGTAGGAGCGGGGAGAGAAGGCTGCCCCTGTCCCAGTCCAAGTCGCTGTCACTGGATGATGGGTCCTGTGGGCAGGAAAGGGCCTGAGTGAGCTTCTCCACCCACCTTCCCTGCCCCACCACTCTGCTCCCCATTACCCCCAAGGACCAATACCAGGGCCTCCCCCAGAAACACCAAAAAGAAGAAAACATTCCAGGAGATAGGCTCTTAACTTTCTACAGCCTGGATCCCCTTGAGGGGAATCAGTATATCCTCTCTCCAAAGAAGAACCCCCCATCCACACCCAAAGTTTTATGTTCAATTTCAAAGACTTCACAGGTCCCATCATGGTAGTACAATTTCAGAGTTACGAGTGGAGGCAGATGGGATGCCTGGGTGGCTCAGTGGGTTGAGCCTCTGCCTTCACCTCAGGTCATGATCTCAGGATCCTGGGATCAAATCCCGCATCGGGCTCTCTGCTTGGCAGAGGGCCTACTTCCCCCTCTCTCTCTGCCTACTTGTGATCTTTCTCTCTGTGTCAAATAAATGAATAAAATCTTTAAAAAAAAAAAAAAGAGAGTGGAGGCAGACACCAACAGGGATAGGAACTGGCAAAAAATTGGAGTCCAAGAGAGATGGCTTTGGGGGCCTATGTTTCTAGGAAAAACCTACCAGCTCAAAACTAATTCTAGATTTAAAAAATTTTTTTTAAATCTTGCATTAAACAGCTCATAAGATTTTAAGCAATTCTTATAAGGCCCAAACTGCAATTAAAATCCAAGTTAGCAGAGAGGTCAAACAAACAGAAAAGGCCTCTTTTGCCCCGAAGCCAACTGCCAATCCCAGAAAAATAACCTCTCAACCCAACCGTGAACTAGATGAAAAGTGATCTCTAACTACCGGTAGTGCCCACAGGCAACTGGCAAGCAAACCAGCTCCTCTCAGAGAAAGGTACGTACCTTCAGTCTAGGCCTCACAACAATTTTTCCTAAAATAGCTTTTCAACTGTGATGACCAGCATACAGTCTAAAGATAACCAGGCACACAAGAAACCCTAAAAGACCAGAAATAATAAGGCCCTCCCTCCAAATCTACAAAGAATGGAATTATCACAGAACCATGTCAAAGTGACCCTAACTGTCTCGCTGTGGCAGACGGTGTTTCCAAAAATGGCCACGACCATCTCTCATCCCACATGCTCCTCTCACAGTGTGACTGATATACTCTTGCCACCAAGGGGTGAGGTCTGTGTCCCCTCTCCCTGAGTCTGGGCAGGCTGTGACTCACTCATAATTGGTAGAATGTGGTGGAAATAATGCCACATGACTTCCAAGCATAAGTCAGAAAAGGTGAGGCAGTTTCTGCCTCGCCAAAGCACTCGTGCTGGAGGCTGGAGGGACAGAAGGATGCAGACCATGTTGCAGCTGCCATGTTGTGAGGAGGCCCAAACCAGCCCATGAGGGGAGCCTCAGGCAGAAGCCCCAAGACTACATTAAGAGAGAGACACCCACCCAGCCCACAGCTCCTTCAGCCCCCGGACTGTTCCAGCTCCAGCCACCGGCTGACCCGCAACCTTATGAAAGACCCTGAGGCAGAACCGCCCAACCCAGGCCCTCCCAGAGTCCTGCCCCGTGGAAACCATGAGCCATAATGATTGTTGCTGTTTTAAGCAACTGAGTTTTGGGGTGATTTTTTATGCAGGAATAGTAACCGGAAAACCACATGTAAGAAATAAAAGACGAGTGGGGGGAGTCTGGCTGCCTCAGTCCATGGAGCGTGCAACTCGTGATCTCGGGGCCGTGAGTTCGAGCCCCACACTGGGTGTAGAGATTACTTAGAACCTTTTTTAAAAATAAATACATAACTATGACAAACTTCACAGTGTATACAAGGAACAAGAAATTATCCAAGTTAACACAATAATTTGGAAGAAAAAAAAAGCAGGAGCAACACAGAGAGAGAGAGGTGGAAAGACAGAGAACAGAGGAGCCAGAAATCAGAGGGAAGACAGAAAGCCAAAGGTGCGGGAAAAAAGATGAGTGACAAATCTGGAGAGAAAAGAATGAAGAAACCAGGGGAAGCACAGAACAGGCAAAATCACCACCGGACATCTAGGAAGTCCCCACACAGTTGGGAAGTGAGACTCCAGGCCGAAGGTAGACACCCCAGCCTCCAACCTACCTGGGGTTCACCAGAGCCCCATTCACTCACCTCCAACCCCTTCCCCCAGATCCCACTAAGGCCTGCTGCTCCTACCTCCAGGTCAGGGGTTCCCAGCTCCCCAAGACCAGCGCTCACAGAAGGAAGAGGTGGCGGTAGGAAGTGCCAACCCCCCAGGGACTCCGCAAAGTCTGTCTCTCGAAAGGGAGGCCCCAGCTGAGGTTCCCCAGGCTTCTGGATGGGGGGCCCACAGCCCATGCCCGCCAGCAGAGGCTGTTGGAGCTCTCGAAGACTGGGGCTGTCCATGGCTGGGGAGAGGCTCCCAGACGGGACGGGTTTCCTAAAGGTAGAGGAAAGAAAAAACATGTTCTAAAAGTCTCACCATCTTTCCCCTGACTCCTGACTCTATAGAGAGATTGCTGGCAGAGGCTAGTTAGTTCACTGACCCTCAGACTCTTTTGCCAGAAACTAAAACTGAGGCCCACAGAATAAAAGAGGGCCTAGCTATGAAGAGAATTCACAGGGTCTAGACATTCAATTCTGGGATTCTGTCTCCCGAGGCAAAACCACATACCTGTAGCGCACTTATTCCAAACCACACCTTGCACACTTACTTGCCCCATGAACTACACATCCCCTGTGTCAAGTCTGCACCCTGAATACCCACGTCAACGGGTGCACATACTCAACCAGGCAAGCCCAACCCCCACCTCCAGGCACTCATTTCCCAAAGGGCTCCTTGCAAACTTGCCCTGAACAACATCAGCTCCCATTAAATACCTCTGGAGCCCCTAACCTTCTTACACACTCATTTTGAATGGCTCCTTGCACACCCCTAATCCCCCCAGCATCAGATCCCCTATTTGCACACATAAGAACAGGCTTCCCACGCATGCATTCCACTCTCCCTTGTTCCCATCACTTACTTCCCTTGCACACCTGCCCCAAACACCCAGTCTACGTATCCCTCCCCTACCCCACCCACATGCACCCCGGTACACAACTGCCTGCACCCCCACCAGCTCCCCTATGCCTCCTGCTTTACCAGAACCCACCTCTGCACCATTCCCCCATAACAGCCCCAACCCACCACACTCACACATGCTCAAACACAAGGAATGTTGCCACCCCACGATCCCCCCCTTCCCGTGGGGCCTCCCAAGCCTCCCGCCCTCATTCCAAACCTGGCTGGAGCCGATCTCCTTACCAAGGGTTTGCCTCCCCATCCCCAACACTAGGAGCCAGTGGAGGGGCCGTGCCGCCCACCTGTGCCCCTCACTCACCGCCCACAGCCATATGTCGGGACTTCCTGGGCCCCTGCACCGACACCCGCCCCGACCCTGCGGCCCGCTGGTGACACGGAACTCAGCTCCCCGGGACCCCGGGCCTGGGGGCGCGGGGTCTGCGTTTTCCGCTGAGCTCCCCTCTCCACGCCCCAGGCCCGCTGCGCATGGGGGCGGGGATGGGGGCGGGGCGGCGGGCTCCCGGCTGCGCCCTCCGCCGCCGCCCCGGTGAGGGCCTTGAAGGCCGACGTCAGTGCCCAGCGCTGAAACCCTGCTACCCCAGGTGTGCGGGAGCCAGCGTGGGGCTCCGAGGACGGCGGACCCTGTCCGTCCTCCCACCCCAGCCCAGGCGCAAGAGCAGCGGGGCGGAGGAGGGGGCGCCCCCGATTCTCCAGGGCCTTCCTGGCTCGGCCCCGCCTCCACACCCGCCACTCTGCTTGCCCAATACTAATAACAGCAACAGCGGTTAACTGGGTGTAGTGGTCTGAGCGCTGTGCATGGGCACGCACACGATTCCTCAGCACTGCCGAAGAGGCCCCGTCATGCACTGTCCTGTGTGGCTCGCAGCGGGGCAACAGGCGCAGAGAGGCCGGGGACTCGCCCGGGCGCACGCCGCCGGTTCACTGAGCGCGGACTAAGCCTGGACCCCTGGCCGCTGCCTGAGACGCTCTAAAGTCACCATCGCATCGATTCTTCTCGGCAGCTCTCTTTCTGTCTCTGTTTCACAGATAAAGTGAGGTTCAGAGGCGTGTGCTCGCTTGCCCGAGGTAAACGACTGGTGCTAAGACCGGCAGATTGCATCCCAGGGCTGCATTCGTTGCTGGCCCGAGGGAAGGGGAGGAGGCAGGAGTGGGGGAGGGGGGCGGGGCAGAAGGTGGGGTGGGAGCTTCGGAGGCCGAGGAGGGAGTGGACCGGGGATAGGGTGATGTGCTGGGTACAGGTTGTACGAGCCGTGGTCATCAGTCAGTGTTGGGACCCACACAGGCCCTACCTCTGGATAATGGCATCACCTCTCTGAACCCTCTTTCATCTGTCAAATGGGCGCCACGTTCCCTGCCTCTTGGATGTAGATGTGATCACATACACAGAGCAATAACCAATGTTCCACATTCCCCGAAGCCTGGCAAGGCAGGCGCCTGAAATATATTTGATGATGTTTGTGAATATCATTATTCACTGCTGGCTCCATCAGTCTGAATAGGGACCCTCCTCACCCTCTCCCTCAGGGAGCCCACCAGGTTTGCACAGGCTTCTCCCTCCCAGAGGCCCTCCATCTCACCCATCCCAGTCAGCCAAACTGGAGGATTCCCCTCCTGATGTGGGGCTGGCCAGGGTTCCCTTGCTCCGGGGCTCCAGGGCTCCAGGGCTCTGTGCCAAGAGTCCAGACGCTGGAGCTGGCACGGGCCCCACTCCTGGGGAGAACAGATGGTGTCTGCGAGTGCACTTGGCTCAGCCAGGGTTTCTGGCAGAAGACAGGCGGGGAGACCCACCGGAGGGCAGACAAGAGGGACCTGGAGCCAGGTTGCTGTATCTGGGAGAGATAACCTGTCACTAGCTCCTTAACTTGGCTCTGGTTCTTTTTTTCATACAGCTTATCACTACGAAACATATTCCATATTTCTGTCACTGGTAGTGTGAATCCTCTCCCCCATCAGTATCAACTTCAGGAAGGCTGGGATTTGATCTGATCGCCTTTGTTCACTGCGGTGCCTCAGGGCCTAGAACAGTGCCTGGCACAAAGTCACCCTTCAATACATATTTGTAGGAAATGAGGGCGGGGGAGCGTGAATTCCCACCAGCCTGTTTTCCACCAAATCCTGGAGCACTTTCTACTATCACTTGGCATATCCTACGGCCCAGAAATTCCACTCCAACCAAACGTGAATGTATGTCCACCACAAAGCAGATTTCCTGCGATGGATGGGATAAATAAATCGTAGCATTCACACCAAGGAAACTACGCAGCAAAGAAAAGGAAAGATCTACAGCCACGTGCAACAGTGTGGATGAGGCACACAACTGAAATGCTGAGCAAAAGATGGGAGACACAAAACAATACTTAAACGGTGTGATTTCATTTATATAAAATTCAAAAGCAGGCAAAATTAAGCCGTGTTGGTAGGGGCCCAGTGAGTAGTTACCCTCGGGCCTTGGGGGCACTCTGGGGAAAAGTCATGTTCTTCTCTTGAGCTCACTTGTGATTATCAGGAGTGTTCAGTTTCTGGAATTTAATCCCATTGTTTGCTTATGATTTATGTCACTTTTCTGTATCCAGATTATACTTCAAAACAGTTAAAAAAAAAAAAAGTGAGTTGGCTCTCTACAGACTGACCTGGGGAACTTTCTAAGATGTTATCACTGAGGGGGAAAAAGCAAGATCTAAAACAATACCTACAGTTGCTATGGAAAACAGTATGGCAGTTCCTCTGAAAATTAGAAACAGAGTTACCATATGACCCAGCAGTTCTACTTCTGGGTACTTACCCTGAAGAACTAAAAGCAGGGTCTTGAAGAGGTCCATGTTCATAGCAACGTTGTTCACCATAGCCAGAAAGATGGAAGCAATCCTAGGGTTCATCAGCAGGTGTCTGGATGAAGAAAATGGGGTATCTATTTATAATTCAGCCTTAAAAAGGAGCAAGAAGGGGCGCCTGGTGGCTTAGTGGGTTAAAGCCTCTGCTTTCGGCTCAGGTCATGATCCCAGGGTCCTGGGATGGAGCCCCGCATCGGGCTCTCTGCTTGGCAGGGAGCCTGCTTCCCGAGCTCACTCGCTCTCTCTCTCGCTGCCTGCCTCTCTGCCTACTTGTGATCTCTCTTCCTCTGTCAAATAAATAAATAAAATCTTTGGGGGAAAAAAAAAAAGGAGGAAGAAAATTCAGGAGTGTCTGGGCCAGCTCTGTCAGTAAAGTGAGCGACTCTTGATCTCAGGGTTGTGAGTTCAAGCCCCATGGTGGGCATGGAAACTCCTTTAAAAAAATTAATTAAATAGGGGTGCCTGGGTGGCTCAGTGGGTTAAGCCTCTCCCTTCAGCTCAGGTCATGATCTCAGGGTCCTGGGATCGAGCCCCACATCCGGCTCTCTGCTCTGCGGGGAGCCTGCTTCCCCTCCTCTCTCTGCCTGCTGCTCTGCCTACTTGTGATCTCTCTCCCTCTGTCAAATAAATAAATAGAATCTTTAAAAATAAATAATTAAGTAAGTAAAATAAAAAAGGAGAAGATTGTGATGCACGCGACAATATGGACTACCTTGAGGACATTATAAAAGGACAGCTGAACCATTCTACCCCTGAGAGGCATCCAGACAGTTCTAGGAATAGAGACAGAAAGTAGAATGGCAGTTGCCAGGACTGGAAAGACGGGGATGGGGTGTTGGTTTTTATTTATAGCTTGTGTGTTTGTTTTTATTTATTTTTATTTTATTTTATTTTATTTTAATTTTTAAGTAAGCCCAATGTAGGGCTTCAAGACATGATGCTGAGATTGAAGGTTGCAAGCTCCACTGAGACAGCCAGGCACCCCTGTTTGTTTTTAGTTTAGTGTTTATTTTTTGTTTTTTAAGTATAGTTGACACACAGTGTTACATTAGTTTCAGGTATTAACATAGTGACCCTAGTGCCCTAAACCTTATGCTATGCTCACTACAGGTCTCACTACCATCTGTCACCCTACAGGTGCCATTACAATATCACTGACCATACTCCCTATTCTGCACATCCCATCTCCGACTCCTTCATGCTACAGCTGAAAGCCTGCTCCTCCCTCTTCCCTTCACGCAGCTTGCCCATCACCTCTCCCCTTCCCTCTAGCAACCATCAGAAAGCATCATCTTGGGATGTTGTTTTTTATTTTTACTTATTTGTTTATCTTTAGACAGGAAGAGAGGGAGCAGAAGTGGGGGGTGGGAGGGGCAGAGGAAGAGGGAGACAGAAAATCCTAGTGTGGAGCCCAGTACAGCGCTTCATCTCATGACCCTGAGATCATGACCTGAGCTGAAACCAAGAGTCGGATGCTTAACCATCTGAGCCACCCGGGGGGCCCCAGGG